AGCCCGGGCTGGCTCATGCCTTGCTGGGTGTGAGCATCTGCCTGTGATGCAGCAAAGGGCCCCTGCGGGTACAAGCAACTTGATTTAGGCAAAAGAATGCAGAAATAGGTGTTGAAGTTCAGCCAAATTTCCATGCTGCTCCTGCTTTTCCCTGACACATTCTGCAGATATGCATCATCTTATCACAATCATGAACAGGTCTGTCCTGGTAGCAAAAACACAGAGTTCAGCAAGAATCCCTCTCTTTTTGTTTTTCCCTTTTCCTTTTTCTTCTTTTTTTTTTTTTTTTTTTTTTTTTTTTTCTTTAATATTATAGTCTTGCACTGTGGCTATTCTAGTTTTTCACAGAAGTGGCAGGCAGCCAAAGACTGGAGTCATTATTTGCAAACTCTAAAAATAGAGTCAAGATTTATAGGAAGAAAACAGATATGTCTTGTTATAAAACCATGAATAAGGATTGGCATGAACATAACGGTTTATTCTTTTTTGATATTGCTTATTGTAAATTGCACTCTATCTTTGTGGGAGATACAACAGATAGTTACAGTGCAGAAACACTTCCTTACTTTCAGTGCTGCAAAACTGCAGTTTATTTGTTGTAAAGACTTGATTATTCAAAGGAAGCGATAAGAGATGAGGTAGCCCCTGGGAATTTTGTTCATTGTTGGGGTGGACAGTTTGTTTTAAAAAAAGTGTTAGTGATCTTCTGCAGGTCACTGCTGATAAAAATTACATTCTTCGCCCAGCAAAAAGGTGCCTCATGAGCTGCACTTCTGGTTAATACTGCTTGTTATTGTACACCGTGAACATCACATCCCTGATCTAACTGTGGGTAATAACACTGCCTGCTCTATCTCCTTCCTCGTAGGCTCTGGCAGGGCAGAAACAAAGAAAAAAAAAAAAAGGACTGGAAAAAACTGGAAAAAAGGGAGGGAGGAAGTAAGCAGAGGGAAAGAGGGAGAGACTTTCACAAAGAGTTAAAAAGGCCTGATGAAATCCTTACAATGTACACCATATGGCTTGACATTTACCAGATTAGTTAAACATTTCTACTGGGGATAAATATTCCTGCACATCGATGTAAAGAAATTGCATGAGACAAGGGCACATACAGCATATTTATGCCATGGAGTAATGTTTTTTTTTTTTTTTTTCTTTTTTTTCTCCCTCCCTTCCCCTTGGCTAGCAGAACTCAGGTTACAGAGCATGAGAGGGACAAGTGTACTAACCATAAATAAACCCCGATTCTGTGCACTCCTGAGCTGCTGGTGGAGTGGCTTCTAAAATCACCCCAAACATACCTCAAAAGGCTCCCGCTCAAAAAAAGTTTTGAATGAGCAATCTTGCTATAAAAAAATACCAAAACCCCAACTCTATGGAGAGGCTGAAGCATTAAAGTTTGTCAAAATCTATCTGAGCACTCGGATTGCCCGTGGAAGATGACTGTGATGGCTGCCAAAGTGATTTGAGTGGGTTAATGCAGAGGAGGTGACTGCTGGTGCCCGTGTCTGGTGCAGCCTGCCCCGCTCCTTGGTGAGCAGCCCTAAAGCCATAGATTTCATCTGATCTTTGCAAAGGCTAACATTTGTCTGCTGTCATTTTAGTGAGATTGATGACAGGCTGGGATGGGGAGGAGGAGGGGGAGCGCAGCGGGAGGAAGGCTGATCCCCACAGCCCTGATAGCTGGGGCCAAGCCCATCCAGACCTGGACGGGCTATCCTGGACCCTCTGGTCGGCTCTGGCAGTGGCAGGGAGTTCTTCCTGAACCACTCCAGCAGGAATTGCACGGGGTTGTTACAGGAGGTTGCAGGAACTTGGAGACAGGAAGGCAGCACTTCGCACTTCACATATTTTAATAGATTATTCAAGTCACAAGCAACACAGGGCAAAATGTTATGACAACCATAAGAATGTTGTTTACTGTGGCTTAATGTGGCTGGGCAGTGCAGGGTAAAGCTATCAAGAAGTATTTTACTTTTTTTAAAGTTTCCAAGAGAAACTAAAAAATGTGGACATGCAGCTATTTTTATTCAAACCCCCGAATTCTGACAAACTCTTTCCAGGCTATTGCAGAAAAGGCTTACTCCTTTTATTATTAGTAGTACCATCCCAGTGCCAAACTAAAAATCAGACACCTTCCCACTTGGAAGCTTTCTTGCAGGCTGATGTTATAGGGGAGTCTTCTGCAGAGGACACATATCCCAAGCTGGGCAGCCAGTTGCTTGCTGCAGCATGTAATGTGCCTTGGAAAAAAATTAAGCTTTCACACTTGTGCAGGACGAATTCCATGTATCTTTTTCCATGAATGAATGAATGACTATCAACGCTGACATTTGGTCTTACCTCAAAAACTTTGAGATTTGTGTTTCACCAGGCACATGTACATGGAGGGATCTCAGCACTTCTGGGAAAGAAATGCAGAGTCAATGGGTTACTGCCCTTGTGGAGAAATGCACCTGCAAATCATTATCCCAATATTAGATTGGAAACCATTGAGGCAAGGGCTGGAAGCAGCCCTAGATCCTCTCTGGCAGCTGTAGGGGCGATGGGTGCATGAGCCAGTAACTCTTAACAAGCTGGAATTCAAAATATGCCTGACCTAAAACCTTGGGCTGGGACATGCACAGGCTTGGGGGAAAGCTCAGCTCCAATCCCTCGTGTTGAGATTTACAGTGCCTCGACCAATGTCATGTGGATTTTAACCACCCAGTGTCCCATTACACCCAAAATGACATCGTGTGAGGCCAGGGTTTTAGCTGCAGACAGGGAAAGATGCCATGGAGGATGTGAAAACAAGGTGTCCCCTTATTCTGGCTGGTCAGAGAAGAGCACAGACTCCCACCCGAGTGGGAAGGTGGCTTGGGTGATCACGGGTGGCTGGGTTGATAAAGAGTGAGCCAGAGAGATAAATACCTGTACCGAAGAAAATAAGAACAGATAATGGATTGGTGTAAGTCGCAGTATATTTCCGCCTGGTGATGAAGGGCTAACAGTGAGTTATAGATCTTTCCTCATGATAAGAACATATTTCTTTCCGAATCATTTATCTATAAGATACTGAGATATTATTTTGGTCTGCATTGGTATTAATTGGGCTCTTTGCATTCCCACCCTGGCCTTTAGCAGGTGATAACATAGTGGGGACCCCAAAGGCTCTGTCTGCACCTCCCATGGGTGAGGTTTTGCTTTTCATGACTGGGAGCTGGGAAGAAAGAGGGAATGTTTTTCCAGGTTTCTCAGGTGATGGTGATATGGTTATTTATGCACGACCAGAGTTTAAATCTTGCTTTGTTCAAGTCCTTAATGTACAAGAAGCATTCCTGAGAGTGTTATAAGATCTGTTACTGCTCTGGGACAGAATTAACTTAAAAACCCCACAAACATTTACACGTTTGGGTGATATGACAGGTGTGTGCAAGGGCAGGAGACAGTGTAGGGAGAAAAAATGCACCGTGGTTTTGTCAGCTGGGATAAATCAGAGCACCAAATTTGATACTGAGGGGAAACGGCTTTTAAAATTTTAATTATGTTGTTCATAGTATTATTATTGTTATCGAGTAGATAATTTTGTATAATTTAGTAAATAGCTGTTTCTTGGGCCCCTTTCCCCAGGACAGTGCGCGCCTGCCCTCACAGCGGCGTCACCATCTTGAGGCGAGGGTGGAAACGCTCGGGGCCGGAGAGAACAGCCAAAACAAGAGGGAAGCACAAATAAACTGGGGCCAGACAGCCTTTGGGGCTGTGGGATGAGGGGTTTAGGGACGGGCAGGTGCCATGTCCCAGTGTGAGGGCTGTTTGTGGGCAGAGCAGCTTGCGGGACAAGGGACTTGTGGTGTGTTTTCACCTGCTGTAACCCCAGCCTTTGCTGTCTTGCTTAAACCTCTTGGATCTTCAGAGAAACCTTTGCAGTGGTCAGTAAATCCTAATGTTGCGCTTGCCCTGGTTTATGAGATTTCCAGGAGATTTGTCACTTGGTGGATCAAGCAGCTCTGAGGGCACAGGTTTGGGATGACGGGGGAGGACTCCACTGTCTCCATCTCGTTAAAATGAGCTTCAGGTTCACTACATTAACGTGTTAATAAGGGAGCCCTGTGTTCCCACACTACTGTTAAAGGCGTTCTCACACTGCTGACCTGACCCCCTTAATCCTGGCTTTCCTGGAGGAATAGCTGATCCATCAGGCCTCCTGTACCTAAAATGGGATGAAATAGAGTGATAGGTCTATTTCAGTGCTGGTGTTTCTCAGGTACCTCAAGCAGCCTTGTTCTTTTTGTATTCATCTCTTATTTCCCTGGAAAGGAAAAAAAATGGAAAAAAACCCCTCTAGATGTGAGGGCTCAAATCACTGAAGATGAGAAGCAGCAAAAGGAAATAAAGAGGTCAAACACCTAAGTTAGCTTATGATTAAAAAGAAATTAGTGGGGCTATTTTTAATTTGTTTAAATATATTACTTTCTATTAAAGAGGTCTTTATATTTTACTAAGTATGAGATGAAGTGTGTCACCAGAGGAATATTATTTTCAGTTTTAGACCTTTTCTCTTCAAAACGTAGAAGTCCGCTGCCACTGAAGTCACAAATGCAGAGATAGCAGGAGTGGCAGCAATGTGGGACTTTCCCTCTACAGTACACTGCAGTCACCTTCCAGTTGGACTGGTTTGCAGGAAATCAGGGAAGAGAGAATGGGCTGTGCATATCAGAGATGTTGTGGGGAGGTCTGTGGTACCACACAGCCCCCCAAATACTCACCCTCAGAGTGTTGTGCAGCCTTGAGAGCCAAAACTGTGTGTCTCTGCCCTCAGACCGAGCCCAAGGTGTTGAGTCCCAGCCCAAGGCACTGCTGGGAGCGCCCTCACAGGATGGAATACATCTCATATCTGAGTTTAGCTGCCAGATCTTACGTCTTTTTTTGTTAAATTTGCTAGACTATGGATATTTTTGGGCTGCAGCTGACAGAAATTAGAAAGGATAGTTGTAAATGAAGTTTTGTAATGCCAGAAGTCTATGATGGAGCTTTTATAATCAGTGCAAAAGCTGAACGTTGATCTAAGTATTCCAAGGCTTTCCATGAGATTTCCTGGTTTTTCCATTTTTCTTTACTTTGTTTTGCTAAATGAAGTTTCCTTGAGAATAAGCACAGCAACTGGGTGAGACTGCAAACCTGTGAGGGAAACACACCATAAGGGTTGAATAAAAATAATAAAATGTTTGGTTAGGAATTTGTCACAAAGTTCCAAAACTATGCATACACTCTCAGTCTCTCATTGTGTTCCCAGCTGGGAAGCCAGGCCAGAGTCACTGAACATTTCACCAAGTCTTGCTAACCTTCTGAGCTGAGTTGTGAGAAATTGTTCTTGACATCACATGAGCTGGGCCACAAGGCAGGACTAATGTGATATTTGCTGTTGAAGGTTTCCTAGGAAACATGCTACTTAGAGCACTCAGCCTTCCCTGCCACCCTTCCCACATCCTCCAGCTTCCCTTGCTCCCACAGGTTTTTCAGGGGGCAGGGATGTACCCTCTGACCTCCGGACACCCTCAGCACAGACCTTCCCTCCTCCCAGCTGAGTAGAGAGGAGATTCTGTGGAGATTCTGAAGCTTACCTACCTAATTGCCCTTTTTTCTCTGATTTATCTCTTTTTTTTTTTTTTTTTTTTTTTTTTTTCCCAGCACTCTGCAGTGGGAGAAGTGAGGAAGTGAGAGAAACTAAGCTACATCCTGCAAGACTGGACTGGAGGAAGTTTGAGCCTTCTCAGTGAACTTAAGCTTTTCTGCCACGAGGGACTGGTGGAAGAAGGTTAGGAAAATCATCAGGTAATTACAGCTCTTGCCACATACTTTGCCAGCAGTTTGCAACGCAGTAGCTGCTATGGTACATAACCCATAACCCTTTTTCAGCAGAATGGAGTTCCCCAATTTCTTCCCCTGCTGTCCAGGCCAAACTTTTCAGCTTGGCCATTTGGAGCAGCAGGAAAGTTCCCATTGAGGATGGGATGAATGGGATCGGTTCACACATGTTAACCAAATGCAAATCCTTAGATGGAAACTCATGGTCAGCTTTTTCCACTGCTATTTTCAGAGCTTCCACAAAAGACCGTGCTGTGATTATATGTATTCATGATATGTATATCATGTATTCAGCTCAAACAATATTTGAATGATGCATTTAGAATTCTTCCTAAAAAAGGACCATGCTTCTGTAAACTGCATCATCTTTGTAAAAAGAGGGGAGAAAAATCTAGCTTGCTTCTCCTTTCTTCATCTCTTTCGTTTTAATATATGATTTCATAAGGCTGTAAGAATTGGTGCTAATGCCGCATTACACACAGACACACTTCTACATAATCGTATGCATTTGCCTGTATTCCATACATAAACAACCCTATGGAATCCCGACTCTTCATTGTTAAGTTCATCTCCATATTTTTCAAAGCAAAGCAGCTCTGGGTGTCAAACAGTTTCTTTCTTCACTCTCCTTCATTGGGCTTTGTCGAAAATGCAGTGAAAGAAATAATGCATTGGGAGTTTTGAGGGTTGACTGGGTTTTTTGGTTTGTTTTCAATTTTTTTTTTGTTTGTCCTTTTTTTTTTTTTTTGTCTTTTTGTCTTTATTTTTGCTTTTGGTGTTGGTTGGATGGATTTTTTGGTATGTTTTTTATATATTTATTTTGGTTTTTATACCTGGCCATTTATAACTGCCTCTTTTCCCTCTTGTCTCCTCCACTGATTAAACCCCATTTTTACGACTGTATCAACAAGTGTCTTTCACATTGCCAATATTGATTTCCCCAACCCCTGGAAGGCCCAGAATGTCACCTCCATGATGCTCCCTGAAGCCACTGGCTTGGAAAACAGGAGTGCTCAGGTTGCTGTGGCCAGACACTGGTTTCCCATGCGGTGGAAAGGAGACAAGTAGCCCCAAGTCACTGGGCTGATTCATCTCTCTCCACAGTGCTGTTCCCTTCACCTCCCTACATGTCTGTGTAGGGAAGCTGTGTGGCCAACATGCCCCACGTGCCTTGTATTAGTAATCAAAGTGCAGAGGGTGGAAAGGAAATTCCATTTGGGATTATTTAGCTCTACCTTTAGTTTCTGGTGGCATCTTGAAGATGGGGGTTGCTTTTGGGCTGGCTTTTCAGCGTGCCTTCATGTTCAGGAGAGGAGTACCTGCTAGGCTCTGCAAAGCCAGTGCTGCCTTACCTGTAAATCTGGGCAGAATTGGGGTCTTTGTGGCCAGAGAAGGAAAATCAGTAACACTCTTCTCTTTCTCTTCCAGTTCAGAAAAGATTCCTCCAGATGTGAAGTCTGATGTCAGTCAGCTTCAGAGAAATAGCAGCAGCTGAGCTGAGAACCTGCAAGCAAGTGTCAGGTCTGTACCAGTCTCTTAGATCAGCATTTTTCTCTTCAGAGTCACTTTTTCCTTTCATGGAATCATGATTTTCAACTCATCCTCTGCCTGTGACATACCATCGTGAAGCCACATTGCTCATAGAAGGCAGAACCTTTCTATGGTATGAGAGGCTGTCCACATGTGAGATACTGGTGGTCACCCAGACCATTTGTTGTTTTCAGGCCTTGTGGCACCATATGTAATGTGTGTTGGGGGATGTTGTTAAACCCCACTGCCAGCTGAGGGAGGGAGGAAAGGAGCTCTAAAACCACAGCTTGAGTTATTGTGGGAGACAGGACTGGAACTCGGCATTTCCTGGGCACCACCCTTCACTTCTCCCTCAGCTGGTATAATTAGCAGTGTCCTGGATCTCTCTTGTTCCCATGCAAGCACACATCTGAATGCATTTTTCTTTGAAATTGTCTGTCTTGGGGTCATTTGTGTTGTGCACTTCAGGCTGTTGATAATCTGTTGTCTGCAGTGAAATGCTCACTGGTACACTGTAAATCAGGAAGAGATGAAAGGCATCCATTTGTTACTACTGATTCAATCTCTGTGGATTTCTGGAATGGGCTACCTGTAAAACTTTGGAAGCCAAGTCTCAAAAAAAACCCCAGTCCTTTGTGGCTCTTTAATTTTTTTGTTCTTGGCTGCTAGCCATGCAGACGGATGTCTTACATCCTTGAGATGAACTTAGTGCAGTCCTCATTGACCTAGCAAGCCACTTTTTCCTTGATGATAAGCTGGGATCACATTTTGTAATGACTGTTGCAAGATTGTCTTGTTAGGGAAAGGGCTAAGGTGGGATTGTCTTTAATGACAATGAAAGCACCTCATAAAACCTGATTCTTCGGTTTTACAGGCATGGCTGTAAGAATTTTAGCCAATGCAGACTTAGTAAATCAGTCAGTCAAAAATTATATCAGTTGAAGTATAATGTTCATGGCAGTCCAAAAACCTGAACATGTAGGTGATTTGGAGGGCATTTTGTTAACTCTTTAATTGGTCGTTTGAGTGCTGGAGGCAGTAGCTAATTGCCTGTAGGTCAGACTAGTCCTAGAGCTTAGGTAAATGTGTATTGTCATATGTCACATTTTCATATGGCTCCTTTGCACAGGTTGGTAAAAATGATTGCTGCATAATTAAAATTAAGACAAGGTGGGAAAAGTGATTCAATTAAACCCCTGAAGCCATTGCACAAATTATCTGAAGTACCAAAAACTAATGAATAGTTAAAACTAGTTTTATCTTTTTACTCTTCATCCCTGAATCCTGAGGGTATCAAAATGGCTGAAGTCTCTCTCAAAGTTCTCCGAGGTGAGTTTTTGGGTGGGCCATGCAAGTATGAGTCAGCACAGAGGAATCCAGGCCTTTTAAAATACCAGCACACAGAAATTTTGTTACCTACTTGTTTGGAATTGAAAATAACCAGACCTTATGCACAAGAGACCTTTTGGTTTCTCCACCAGCCCAGAATTATTTTGAAAACATCTGCAATATTTCACTCTGCATGCAGCAGGTATTATATACCAGGGAGGGTGATGACAGTAAAAATAAATGAGATATGTTGTAACCAAAACATCCCAAGTTTTACATCATACATTTCACAAGCCTAGCAAGCATCCTGTGCTCTGACTTGAAGGCTGAGGGCATGTGGTAGTTTTACAAATGTCCATTAGTATTAACAAGTATGTTCCATTATTAGACAGTGTGCCACTGCCCCAGCCTCCCAGTGCAAGAGGTGAGTTAATATGGCTTATAAAATATAAGAGTGCTGCAGGCACAAACTGTGGAAATCAGAGCCCTGGCTAAGCAGGAGGTCTCATTACATTTTGTGGGACAACTTACTAGAGGGCTGAACATGAGCATTAAAGCTGCCTCCCAGCTAAGGCTTTTTATGGTTCCTGTCCTTTCCCAGAGCCATACAGCTCCAGGAGGTTTAGAGCAGCGAGGCCTGCATCTTTGGATACTGGCAGTGTGCTAATTCTGACCATGTTTAAAATGAGAGAATTGAGATGGGTATGTTTGCCCTTTGCTTTTTAACAGAATTGTTGGAGCCTGAAAGTAGCAAAGTAGCAGAGCACTGAGGAGCTGTGCTCTTGTTGCTTTTTGGGCTTGTCTTTTTTTTTTTTTTTCTTGCATGGCTCTGTGCTGGTAGCTGTAAATTCCCATTTCTTGGAAACAAGAGTGTTTCTTGGCCAGGTTGGCCAGCACTGTGTGTGTCTGCACAGAGAAGACCCAGTGTGTTGAAACTGCATAAAACAGTGCATCTTGCAAGGAAGTAAAAGTCTGGTTGCTCTTCATTGGAACAGATACTGCCCTGCAAGGTTCCTAAAATATGCCCTGGTAGGGACTGTCTCCTGCCATCCAAGTGAAGTTATCTGTAAACATTTCCCCTACAGGGATGATGTGGATGCATAAATGAGGAACACAGTACCTTTTTGTGCTTCTACCTTTTTGGAAGTGATTCTCACTCTGCATTTGAAACAGTTAAAAACCTTCTTCTGATGCTTATCCAAACTTAATCAGAAACCTTAAATAGGAACTAATTTACTGTCACAGGTAGCATGTTCATCTTAGTACTAACTTTATCAAACCAAAAGAATTCCCTGCTGAAGACCAGGGTGATTCAGGGAATAGGAGGTTATGAAAACATGATGATGTCAACTCACTAGATGAGACTTTCATTTATGGGTAAAGCTTCTGTAGGTAGAAAAAATAAACCTTCCTAAAGATCTCTGTGGATCAAAACTCCAAGAAATGAGGAGAGCAGAGAAAAAAGAGAAAAGACTGAAGCTCAGGAGGTCTTCAAATCATGTGAGCTCTCTGCTGTCCCATGCTTCCTGGTGGAAAAGCAAACAGCCAGACATTGTCAGGAATGTCCTAAAAAGTCAGAATGTGAGTGGACAAGTTGCAGTCTCCCCCTCAAAACATTTTTTCAGTCTTTTTTGAAGTGTGTTCAGCCTAGACTGCTGGTAGTCAGAGACAAAATTTCCACTGCCTGTGATTCAAGAAAAACACTTCTTATGTCATTAAACAGAGTGCTTTTCTGTAGTCTTTTCTGTATGGTCTTGGCTTGAGACCACCCAAACGCCAGGTGAAGTAGTGCTTGGGGCAAGTCGAGCTTTTCCTTCCACTCCAAGGCATAAGCAGCAGGCTGCAGCTGATTTCATAAATGCAGACTGATATTTCTAGGAGGCTACCAACAAAAAACAGGTTATAGGATGGGCTGTTGTGGATTGCACCAAGACAGGGCTGAAATTCCTGCCCTGTGTATTGGAATGTGGAAATGACCCAAGAGTGTTTGGGATGCCGTTGTGAATTTCATGTGTGTGTATAGTATAGTATTATGTTTGTAGAAATGTATATGGCAATACCATGCAGGATTAATATGAGACATAAAAGTTGTTAAAAGACATTATGTGACACATTCACAATTTTTCCTCTGGGTACAGAGAGCGAGTTGAGGTCATGGCACCAAATTCATCTCTCAGAAGTGCCTAATTTCACTGACTATGGCAAATCTATATTTTAAGTTATTAAAAATACCCCAATAGAATTTTGATCTGTTAATACAGACCTTTTCAAAGAAAAAATGCAAGCTTTTGCTACTAGCCAGGTCCATTCCCATGTCACACCCTGCAAATGACAACTGCATTAAAAAAAAATTTAAAACTTGGATTGAGGAATGCAGCCAGGGTTGTTGGTTCAGGAGCCAGGAGCACAACCCTTGCCTGCTGGGCTTTGTGGAGAAGACCTACACTATCAAAGCTCTGGGAGGTAAAGGAATGTATTAGGGCTTTGAAGAAATTCTTTGAAAAGCCTCTGGAATTACAAATATGGTGAGACAGGCTTTCCACAGAGTTTCTGGAAAAGCCCTGTGAGTCCCTGGTGGGTTCCCCTGAGAACTGAAGGAGGCAGCAGGAAGCTGGTAATGGCCTATTTGATAGGACATGCTTTGGTGGTGGGTGGTGGGACTAGTGAGCAGCAGGATGTGCACATTGTGCTTCCTTTAGTGTGCATTTTCTGTGTTTTTAATACATGAGACAAACCTTGTTTCCAGTGAGTCTGGGGTCCCGCCATCCTCGTGTTAACTCAGGGAACACACCCTTTGCTCACAATCATTCCATGTGCAAGGACCAAAAAGACTGCTTGAGGCAAGTGTTCTTGGGTAAGCCCAAGCAAAGGTCAGGGATATGAGAGATTCCTTTGGCAGTGGGGTTGCCCAGGGATACATCTGGAAGGCAAGGTCTGCTCTGCCATGCTATTACAGTGATGTTCCAGCCTTTCCAAGAGGATAATGTTCTTTGCGTGTTCCCACCTTCTCCTGGCTTATACATGAGGCGACAGCAAGGCTGAAAAAACCCTGCTGGGTGCCCAGAAAGGGACAAGGTTAATAATGACCAGTGTGCAAAGAAAGACTAGACATGAATAGATTTGGATTGATTGCCTTAGACAACTTTATGGCTTTGTTTTCCTTCCTAAATTATTTTTGTGGGTTTTTTTGGGGTTTTTTTTGTTTTGTTTTTGGTTTTGGGGTTTTTTTTTTTTTTTTGGTTTTTCTTTTTTTTTTTGAGTAAAATAAATCACATCTCATGAGATAGCACTATGGAAATATGTCAGAGTATTTTTGGTGGCTCACAATAAGCCTTGATAACCCAAAAGATGGAGGCTGGCATATGCCATGGGTGGAGTCAGGGATATTGTGTCTTTGTGTCTGTGGGCATGTGACAGGTTTCTTCTGTCAACTGCAGGCCAGGCTGAATTTAGCCACCTTGGCCTGGATATTATCCATGTGGCTAAAATTGCCAGATCATTTACCCTGGAAATTATTGCAGTGGTGCACTGCCAAATGCACAGTTGTATTGTTCCTTTGCTTCGTGCTGTTGGGTGTTAAATGTACCTCTGAGCCTTAAGCAAGCCTTGATTGAGTGTTTTTTGTTCACAAGAAATTATAGAGGGGGAGAGGAATCTTTGAG